AGAATCACCAGAGATTTGTTCTCCTCCTTGTGTACATCTCTGGTGGGGCGAAGACTGGAAAACTGTATCCAGACATTAATATCCGTAAAATAATTAGGCATTGTGGACTAGATCAAATAAAGTATAACTGTATTTCAATAATTTACACACAATGGTAAGTGTCAGCCAACTCTCAGAAACTGTCAATGCAAAGCTCTTACCACGCTGGACCTCACGCTGTCCCTGGAAGACTTTCAGAAACAATTTGTGATAACTAACGCGAAAAAACCAGAACACAGATTGGCGACTCGAGAATCCCTTATTCTTACGCCAATATGTAACGAACAATAAGGAATAAATGTTATAAAGATAAATCACAATAATACTTCTGATAGCTTTGTCTCTTCCAACGAACAGGGAACGATGAGACGATGACTGCTGGATTGATGACCAGCGAAAAATATGGAGTAGTTGGGTTTGGGCAAACAACCATGAATTGATCGTTCAGTCTTCAACTACATTGACAATAAATTTTTTTATTGGTAATATTTGGAGAAAAATTACCAATAACAAAACATATCATTTTGTGGAACTTATTGAAATATAATTTTACTCTATTTGCGTGCAGACAGTCAGTTCTTGTCTGAAACGGGTCTCACACATTCTAGATAGGGTTCGAAAGAAGTCAACACGTATGGTTCTCGGCATGACTAACTTATCATACGACGACAGAGTAGACAGTTTGCATCTCTTCTCCCTATCATACAGTAAACTTGTAACTACGATGCTAACCTAGTCTCTCTTTTTCTTCCCATTGCGTCGGAACACATAAGAGGGCATAGCAGGGAAGTACAAAAGCCAAGAAGTAATCATATTGCTGTTGAATACTGGTTCTCATAAGGAGGCATAAACTCTTTCAACTAACTCCCAGAAGAAGTGGTGTCTACCAACTCAACTGATCCCTGCAAGAAGGGTTTGGACAAACACAGAGATTGTCAACGCAGTTGAAGATTGAACGATCAATTCTTGGTTGTTTGCTCAAAATCAACTTCCCCAATTTTCGCGGAGGCATCAATACGACAGTCATCGTCTCATCGGTCGCTGTTCAGAAAGAAGTCAGTAGCAAACCATCAGAAGTAATCTCGTGATTTATTATTGTAATATTTGTTCACAGACCTTAATAGAAATATTTTTTATATGTTGGTGTTACAATAAAGAATTCCCAAGCGGCCAATCGGTGTTTTGGTTTTCGCGTCCGTTACTATTAAGCGTTTCTGAAAAACTGCAAGGAACAGCGTGGGCCCGAGCGTAGCGAGAGCTGGGCATTAACGGTTTATGAGACGTGACTGACAGTTTCTGATGGTAGAAACAGATCTGGCGGATTCAAACAGTTGGTTAAAGTTTGGATAGTCACCGTTCATTTTTCCTGGTGCCGGTCAAGTCCTCTTTGAACAAGCAATATCTGGAACGTTTTTGGAATTGGGTCAAGTTCAACAATGCCTGGGTCAAAGAAGGGACAGAGCGTCTTGGATGCAAACAGGAAAGTAAGTCATGGTGACTTGTCTGTTACTTGTAACGATGTGTCTGATGTTAAGTATGACATGGTTGATGTTACTGTTTCGCCGTTCAGGGATAATAGGAACATCAAACTCCCTTAGTTTGAACCACGATGTTTTGAATGAAACCCGGCTGATTATTTACAATTTGTAAAGGAGTTTGAGATCATGCTGAGTGGTTTTTCATTAACTGATGAATTGAAGTTAATGTATTTGATGAGGTATTGCACTGGAGATGCTGCAAGAGCTATACAGTGTTGTAAGTTTATGAAGCCAAAAGAGGGCTACGATGAGGCTATGAGCATATTACGTCAAAGGTTTGGAAGACCTTCGATGATTGCAGGGAAATTATTCGAGGCTGTTAAGGGTAATGGTGGTCAATTACAGGATGACTCCCAGGCACTCACTGAGTTTTTAGATAATTTGCTAATTTACAAGAATGGAATGATTTCGATGAATCGCATGAGTGACCTCAACTCGAGTTTTATACTAGAAGTAATAGCAAGACGCCTACCTACTCGACTGCAAAGGAAGTGGGTGAAGATAAGCTCCCGTATGGAGGATGAGGGTATCGAGCCAAAATTTGATGATATCCTGAAACTGGTAAAAGATAGTGTCAATCAATCGATGAGCAAGTTTGCCAGTATATTGAATCTCACCCCTAGAATAGAGCAGTCTGGGGGTAAAACGCAATCATTGATGACGAATAGGCCTCAGAGAGGTGGATATCGAGAAGGCTCCATGATATCTAGTAATGCATATAGATCTAGTGAGTGTAACAGGTTTCGTAGTACATCCTCAACAGATCAAAAAAAAGATGCAAGACAAACACGGTTTTGTTGTACACGTTTGCAAGAAGTGCATACAAAGGTGAACTGTGAACCAGTGAGCAAGTTCAGTGATAAGCTAAATGTAAACTCCAGGCCTGACTCCGAATTGTGTGACGATAATGGTGCGGTCAAGAAGTCTGTAGTTGCAACTGGTAAGCCGTTGTTGAATAGAGTGTCACAGAATAGAGTTACTGCTTCAGAGTGCAGTTCTGACTCCAAAAGTTTACAAGGTATAACTAGTCAGAGTGAAGATATAAAACCTTTAATGATTTGTGAGGAGGAACCAAAATTGTCTACTTCTGTTATTAAAGAGTTTGAAAATGATGAAGTTGACGGTAAATTGAATATTTGTGGTAATGATCATGATAGTGCAGATTTCTCTCTGGTTGATCATGATGAAATTGAGGGAATGCCTACTACCGCTAAGTTAAATAAAGGTTCTGTAGAACTCGAACGTGAAGTAGAAATAAATGCAGGTGCATTTTCAGAAGGCATGCGTATTTGTGAGACCGTCAGTGTGATTGATCAGCATGTAGCCCACCTATCATCAGATGTTAGTGCTAACCCTGAGCTGATAGTAAAAGACAGCAGTGGTGGTGGTCTTGCAGGTAGACAACTTTCTGAAAGTCGAGCAACAGCAGCTTTTGATCCACCGCTAACTTCATCAACTGATATCAATCAGTCGTCGTTGGTGCTGTCATCCACAATGAAACAGACACCCATCAACTCAAGTATCTTGTGCAATGACTATGGTAGTATCAGTTCGTTTGAAAGGACGAATATCAGTGGTCAGTTTAGTGAGGATAAGCCAAGTGTAAACGAGAGAGTAATTGTTAAATTGACTTGCACGAATAAAGGCATTTCTAGTTTCAAGTTACTATTTGAATGCTATTATCTTTGGTGTAAATTACTCTGTGCCTACGCTTGGTTGACCAGATACTTCGTGTGTTTGTTCGTCATCTATGTTCTACGATACAATGACATGAGCGTGTTACCGTTCAGATTTGAGGATATAGCTCATAGAAGGAAGTTAGCAAATGAACTCTGCGACGATTTTCCAACCTAGAGCGTCAACCTGAGAAGGGTTGTAGGCGTACTGCTGTAAGTCCTACAATTCTTCAAAGGTTAGCGCATCAATGAGCAGCCCAATGTTCTCGGTGTGAGATTTTGTACATGTGTTCATATTGCATATACTGAACTGATATCATCTTTCATCTATCTGTTGGTAATTCTGTTTGTGTCCGGACGACTTCCACTTGGATCATCAACCTGAGAAGGAATGTAGGCGTACTGCTGTAAGTCCTACAGTTCTTCGAAGGTAGTTTGTCAAGCCGGATTATACAACATTTGATGTGTTGATTGTACATATGTTTGTGTTAAATAATTGTGTGAGTTCCAATTGATGTAATTGTTGGTTAATCTTGTTTGTGTCCGGACATTCCACAAATTACAATCGTCAACCTGAGAAGGGTTGTAGGCGTACTGGTGTAAGTCCTGCGATTCTTCAAAGGAATTCCATCAAGACATGATCCGCGAGTTTTTGTGTACTATTTGTATATACGTGTGGTGTGTCATATCAATTGGTGTTTTTGGATTCATTGTGTTTACTTGTTGTTTGCGTATCTTGTTGTTGTTGCGTAATTTTGTTAAAATTTTCGTCGTGATTACTTCTGAAGTTGTTTCAAGTCTTCTACATCCATGAATGAATTGATTGATGTTAAGGACAGCAGATGGGTCGTATACGCCGGGGAGGCTAGGCTATTGCTGAGAATGAAATGCATACGGAGATAATTGTTAGGTGTGGTCCCACACGCCGGGGAGAAAGAGTGTAAACGACTGGGGCTCACATGCGTTACCGCTACTAGAACTGAGGCAGAATGAGTGACAAGCGATTTCAGTGTTAATTGGTAGTGAGTAGATAAGAGGATGTGCGTAGAGTATCATGGGTTGGTGCTATGGTCACGTTGCATTCTGCAAGAGTCATTCTAGCAAGTGGCGATTGTGTTGCAAGATGTCAAGAGGAGGTCTCTGTCTGGAGGCGCAGGTCGTCTTCGATGTGTGAGATTGTGCTGTGGGTATGCTTGTGGTGTGTTGGATGAGGATAGTAGACTCCTACAATAAATCCAAAGGATACAACACGGTGTGAGTGAAGCGCGTAAGCAGTAGCAGCCAGAGAGAAGGCGAAGTTCCGAACAGTAAAGTGTATTTCCAAAATGTACACGGAAGTTATATGTATTTTACCAAGAATCGTTTTGAACAAAAATTATGTACAATATTTCTAATTTCTACAAATAACAAAGAGTGTACAATCATATTGTTACGTACTCCACCAGCCTTCTATCTTCAACCAATAAATCTGAAATCTAATATGTAACGGCCAGAAAGGTAAATTTAAATAGAAAAACTTGATATTTATGTTTGTAACCAAGTAATCTTGGAAATATTATCTAAAAAGTGAGAACGCGAAAAGAAATAATAAAACATGAAAAACACCTTACAACCAAAAAGTGAGCTCAAAGAAGTTGATTTAGTTTACACCAGCTAGTCACAATAATATTGGATATTGGAAGTCACTATAACTTTTCAACGTTTGCGTTACTTTTCATGTGTTGATTAGCTTCTCTGAATAGTAATTATGAAGTCAGAGGAACTAAGTCGACTGAGAAATCATTTTTTGAAAAACTGCAGAGTTAAAGAATTCTCAGGTTATGGTGGTAAAATACATACCCTAGGCTGGAATAATAATGGATCACGACTGGCCTCTGGCTCATCTGACAAGCTAGTGAATATATATTCTTTGGAGTCTACAAGATTGGTAAGTGTTATTATTTTTTAAGGATTTCTTTCAAGGTTAAGGTACATAGTTTTCGAGGCCATAACGAGAGTGTAGATCAACTTTGTTGGCATCCGTCAGATAATGATATTGTTGCAACTGTTGGTGCTGATGGAGCTGTTCGTTTATGGGATTGTCGCACCAAAAAGGATCCAATCACAGCCCAGTGTAAAGGGGAAAATATCAATTTAGCATGGTCACCGGATGCACGTTACATAGCTGTTGGCAGTAAAACAGACTTGGTATGTTCATTAATTGTCATTGTTCTGTTATTATAATTTATAACCGTCCTGAATTCCAAATTCACATTAGTGTTATGTTCTTGTTCAGACCAAGGGTATTTTGTCTTCAAAATCGTTTAAGTAGTAGACTTTACTGTTTATTTATTAAGCAATTTTGAGTGTGACTTCGCAACTTTGGGGTGGGGGGTAAATGACGGTAATTAGATACTTTTCCTCAAAGTTTCCGATAAAGACCCCTTAATCTCCCTCAATTTGGAAGTTAACATTCGCCTTTATGGCAGGTGTAATCATTAAAAGTATAGATGCGGTGAAATAAATCTGAAGGGTTTCATTTTGTCATTTGAAAGAGATAAAAGGAATAACTTTGGCACTTTTTTTATTTGTGCGTCAGTGGCACAGTGGTTGGGACTCTCGCCTACCGTGCACATGGTCCGAGGTTCGATCCCCTGCTGACGCACACCTGATATCTATGGTCGGCCTGCAAAATTTGGGCTACCGATACCCATGCTGAAAATTCCATACTTGTACCATAAATACAGTGGGGAATCAAGCTGTAGTCGAAAATAAAAAATAAAAAAATAGTTGATTTCACAGCTGGACAGAAAAAATCCAACGTGTTTATATCAAATTTTACGTACAGTTCTATTGGATAACTTCATTGGTTTTCAACACCTTTCACACTGTCTGTCATCCCATGATTGTATTCAAGCTCACATTTTTATTCAACTGCAGTTCGAAGGGAATTAGTCATTGCATAACATACAAGTGTGCACACCTTTCTTATTTACTATTTTTTTCGAAAAATAAAATGGATATATGGGGACACATTGTGTATTGTGTGCTCACTTTTTGACACAATAATTTAATGTGAGTTTTGGCGTTATCAGCTTTATATGCATCATGTATCCAAAAACACTATTATCACTAATCACTGTTGTGTTTGGCCTAAATTTAATGAATTGTCTGTAATATAAAGTTATCTTCACATATTTTCCGTTTTCCTAACTGACTAACTTAGTTTCAACATAAAACTTTGCCCAAAAGTTCAAGTTGCCACATCTTATTGCACGCAAAGGGAAATAAAATAAAGAGAGAAATAAAGAACTGTAATAAGCAGAAACGTCCAGGGGAAAGAATATTTCATAAATTAACATTAACATATTTAAGTTAACCTAAAAAAAATAACTGCTCTCTTCTGTCGTCAGTTAGTGTGCTATTTTTTTCCAAGAACCCAAACTTCTCAACTGTTAGTGTGTTATGAAAGATATTTACTACTATAGAAATAAATCAGTGGAAAACACGCACTCATGTAAAACCTTAAATATGAATTTTAAATTGAAATGAATAAAATCAGGCGGGGGAAAATTCAGTGAAAAAGCATTGAAAAGTATGAAACTAAGCTAAAAGATTATTACTTTTCAATGAAATCCTGATCCATGGCTCTACTCTAATATATATAGCATTTTTATTACAATACACAACAGTTTACCAATCAAGTGGCACTATGACATGTTTGTTCACAATAATTAGTCAGTGTCAACATGTCAATGGGGTGATAATTAACAAAGAAAATTAATACAAACATTTAAAAGGTAGAAATGGTTAGAATAAATTAATTCTACAAGGATAACACGTAATTAAAGATGAAGTGGTCAAAATAAATAAAATATAAAATAATTTGGACAATTATAATTTTTATACTTTTACATCGTCTCTTCACAACCACCCCAATTCAGTGTTCGAGAAATAAGGATAAACGACCTAAATTTGCCTCCTCTATGTGTATTTACCAGTTTGACTGCAGCTACGGAGCCAGCTACATTGGGCGTACAATTAGACAGGTTCATCATCGTATTTCCGAACATCATCCAACATCGTTAAGCAAGGGACAAACAAGATCTATTCGTAGCTCGATTGTAGCACACCTTGTAGATAGTGAGCATAAGGTTGATGTTAATATAAGATTTAAAATTATCTGTCACACTCCAACTAATCTTAACTTTGCTCTACGAGTTTGTCTTCTACAGACAGGTGAAGCAATCGGAATCCACCTGTGTGTTCAGAAGAAATTTGTACAGCCACGTTTTTTCCCTTGGCAACGTTACATGAATGTATAAACCGGACTACTTCGTCCCCTTCCCCCTAAACCTTTGAAATTTTAAAAATTATAATTGTCCAAATTATTTTAAATTATTTTCTGACCACTTCATCTTTAATTACGTGTTTTATCCTTGTAAAATTAATTTATTCTAACCATTTCTACCTTTTAAATGTGTATTGATTTTCTTCGTTAATTATCTCAACCCATTGACATTTTCACACTGACTAAAAGATTATTAAGCTTTTAGATATCTTACTAATGTCTAAGTTAATACAAGTCATTAGAGTCTTTTGTAAGCATGTAAGGATTCTACAAACTACTAGTTCATCATGACGGTGTGTGCGCGTGTGTGTGTAGCTTTCTAGAAATAAGAAAATGGTTGCCGTGTCTTCCTAATTAACTTTCTTTCGTTAAATGAGTCACCACTGAATTCAGCCGTTTTTCAACAACGTAGAGAATATATTACAGAGGTTCTTAAATTATCACTCTGAGTATTTAGTTGGCTTTCTGCTACTGGTATTGTTCACTAGGTGGTTTTAAGAAACTGAAAATGCCACATAATGTACATTCGAATTTGAACAAACAAAAGATAGCGCAGAAATTATTGAAGGATGGAAACAAGAATTATGAAGACATTGATTAGTGAAAAGGAATTTAAGTTTTCAATTATTGGTTTTGTAGGGATTTTCTTTGGTTGGATGGAGTCTTTTACTAGGCTGACAAAACAGCTGTCCAGTACTCCCAGGTTTTCCAGTGGTTCTCTAACTGATGTCAGCTCATGATGAAATCCTCCAACTAATCAAACAAAATCCCTACAAAACCAATACTTAAAAATGAATCTGATGCTCACTAGTGACTAGCCCTATTCAGGTAGGTAGTTCTAGTGGGAAGCCGTAACCAGTAGGGTACAGCAGGTTGAAGATAAGACAGTAACTCCTCGTAGAAGACATTGCGAAATGGTCGCGCTATGTCGTGAATTGTCAGAAGTTAGAATTCAAGAACCATTGGATCGGGTCCCAGTGGCTCAATGGTGTACGAGCTTACCTTGTAACCAGAAGGTCCTGGGTTCGAACCCCGGTGAGCGCGTACTGTGAAGAGTCCCAAACTAGGACGAAACAGCTGTCCAGTACTCCCAGAATTTAAGTTTTGTTTAAAATATAAAGCTCTTATCAAACCAGTTACAAGGTTATGAACTTTGTACTGTTGTTAGGCGGTTGGAGGCAATCGATAGGAAGCGTTGCATCTAGGTTTTTTTGTTGCTGTTTTGCATCCTCCGGTGAGGTGTATCTGCAGTCTTGAAAGACCTCATAACACCTTTCAGGTTCAAAGGCATTTCACTTACTACTTCAATCAGAGGCGTTACTACTGAGCTATTCAGGTCTGCAATGGACTTCCTGTAGAACTGTAATGGATACTTTGATTGGCAATGAAGTAATAACAAATATCGTGTGCGTCTAGTCCCTTGTTTTTTTTTGTGCAGTTTGTCGGGCACAATGTTTTCTCAACCATTTTGATTCCTTTAGATCAATTTGTGTTCAACATTTGAATATGATGCCTCTTTTTTTCTTCAGGTTTCATGGTTTGATTTACGTGCTGGCTTTAAAGTTGTACAAGCTGAACAGTTTACTTCAGAAATTAATGAATTTGCTTGGAATCCAAGCGGTGAAGCATTTCTTTTAACTACTGGACTGGGAAGTATACTAGTATACAGGTTAGTGTAATTTTTTTCCTTAATCATTTGAGACACTCTTAATCTGCAGATCCTTCCTTCATAGATCTCAGGTACCCAGCACTAGGCTGCAAAACCACACTTATTGTATGTGTGAGGGCTACCCAGTTGCTGAGGTTGAATTAGTTGGGGTGGGACTCGAACCTAGGGCTCGTTGACGTAAAGTCCATTTTGTCCAAGCCACATCTCCACAGTGCACAAATCTAGATTAATGTAATCGATAGTATTAGGTAAGTAATTAGGCAACAGAGTTAATAGATCATTTGTCTAGAGATAATGTGTGATCTTGTTGAAATACAATTTAGAGGGGATTCTGCTTTGAAAAAAGGACAAATATTAGCCAAACATTTTAAACCCAACAGCTCACAACAAATACAGAAACTATCATTGCAATGATTTCCAATGAAACTACATTGTTCTTCGTTACTTCTATTTCTTTGGCTCACACCTCTGTTTACTGTCTCTATTATGCATTTCTTCCACCTTCTTCTCTTGCTTTGTGTGCTACAAGGAGGGAGTGTGGCGACTTGAACTGCTGCACATCGGTGCAATGTTCTATGTCGAAAACTGACAGACAGACAGATCATTGCAATTTTCTATTTGCAACCTCAAGCATTATAGTCACTTTGGCCAATTTAAGTAGTGAGCACGCAGACACAATCATATATGCAGGCACAATCATAGTCACTGTCATATACACAACAACACTAATCAATAGAAGTGATGAAATAACCAGGTATCAAAACAGCAGTAGCAACCTTCTGTGTGTTCTCTAGACAAGTCACCACACTCTTGTTGTAAGGTGGAATGGAGTTCGAAGTCTCTTCAAGTATTAGACACATATGCCTATATTGAATAAATGTATATATATATATATATATATATATATATATATATATATATGGGTCGGTGGCACAGTGGTTAGGACTCTCGCCGACCATGCACATGGTCCGGGGTTCGAGCCCACGCCGACGCACACCTGATATCTGTGGTCGGCCTGCGAAATTTGGGCTACCGATATCCATGCTGAAAATTCCATACCTGTACCAAAAATACGGCGTGGAATCAAGCTGTAATCAAAAATAAAAAAAATAAAAAAATATATATTTATTTATTTTATTCCTTTGCATTGCTAGTGGAACATAGATATGGTTCCAGGCTTCTTGAGCTACAAAGTTTCATTAGCAGAGATATTCTTCTTCTTTTTTCTACGGGGTTGGGATTGCTAACCTAAGCTTCCCTCTTTCCCGGTCTTATTACCACCTAAGCGAGGTAAAGGAGTTCGTCGACCGGGGTTCGAACCCCAGACCACCTGAGTGATTGGCGAGCATTCTACTTCTGCGCCACCGATGCAAAAGTTCCCAAACTAGGACGAAAAGACTGTCCATAACACTACATAGTTCTTAATGCTCCTCTAACTGATATCAATCCGTGACCAGACTTAAAATCAAAGAAAAGATTTGTAACTCAGGTGAATGATCTGAAATAACGGCTAGAATAATGAAACCGTTTGATATAGATGTAGCACACAAACCAGCCGAATCGCTTAGTTCGATCTTATGTAAACCAAAAGATCCGATAGAAAAACGAGATAGAATTAACACCATTTACAAAATGAATTGTATGAACTGTAACAAACATTACATCGGCGAAAGTGGGCGTCCCCTTCGAATAAGAATCCAAGAACACAAGTCAGCCGTGAAAAGATATGATATAAATTCTTTAGTATCAATGCATACCGATAATTATGGACATCAATTTGATTGGGATAATATCAAAATCTTAAACAGAGGAAACACCAAATGCTCCAGGGAATTCCTAGAAGCCTGGTACTCAAACGAAAATGCCATTAATAAACACGTTAATATAGATGAAATATATCAACTAATAAAAAGTAAATCAAGGTGACCAGAAAGTTTAAAATCCCAATCAACAGAAAACGGTCAATACATATGTGAAGATGGTTGGTCACCAGGAGACGCAATTGTATCATCATTCATGGAGATTTTTAAATCATTTAACTTTATGCTAAATACTGTCTGTCTGTTTTCGACATAGAACTTTGCACAAATGTGCGGAAGTTCAAGTCGCCACACTCCGTGTAGCACGCGAAGCAAGAGAAGAAAGTACAAGAAAAGCATAATAGAAACAGTGAGCAGAGGTGTGAGACAAAGGAGTAATAAAGAAAAACAAAACAGTTTCATTGGAGATCATAAGTCACAAGGAGTGGATGCATCTGCGCCACTGAGAACGATTTTGAGCCATGTCACCAATTGTTTCCAACCATAGATTTTTATCGTCCCGAGGACCCCAGCCTGGAAGTCTACACCTTCCTACGTGGCTTAGACCAACTGTTGTGGATTTCATTGACTGGTGCCAAGTTGAAATCGACAACAGTTGGTCTAAGCTAAATACTGCCCTGAAGATGCCGTCCAGAAAGACGACGAAAGCTCCGCAACTAAACCAACCAGCTCAGAGAACACTATTAATTGCAAAAGACTTAAAATCAACCAAAAAGGAAAGCAACATCATGTGTAAATAGTATTAACATGTTGTTTGGCTGGCGCTACAATTTTAATAAAAAGTTGCTGTTGCTTTTTCCAACTATTGTCTACTGGAGAAGAGGTGTCTCGATTGGTTACGCCTCGGGATGATACTGCATTCTATTCTGGTCTCACAAGAGGCTGAGATGAGTGTGTTCAGTCCTTCTGAAGACTAATATATGTGTAAAACTTGGGCACTGTGGTAGTAAGTAATTCCCCATTTGTTTGTTTATTAGATGTATCACACAGTGAGTGAAACAGTATTATTATTTACTGGATGACTTTTCGAAGAAAATTTACTGTTCATAATCATGCCATCAATTGTAATCACACGACCTTGAGACTTGAGTTTTATAGTTTTCTTTGTCCTCTCCTATTTGTCGTCTTTGGGGTAGTAGAATTCTCCAGATATCTGGGACAGATATTGAATCATTTCTATTACATGTATTTGCAGTTGATTCGATAAACAGAGCTTCCGTTATCAATAGATCTCTCCCTCCACCCTGTGACATTAGATTTTAAAACTGTCATCCTATCCCATCCTCTTGTATGGTTCTGTGTAATTGCATGTATTTAGTGGTATAGCTGAACTGTTCTCTAGATTTCCTATCTTATTTGGGTCAACCAATCTAGATTTCGCTAGGTTTCTATGCCCCACTAACCCTGACTGACTGACTCTGTTCCACTATTATAACCCATCCGTGTATTTGACCTAACAATCATTGCAGGGTATTAGATAAACTAAATTGTTTTGTTTTGAAGGCTCCAAAGGATTGATCCTATAACCGACAAAGCTTGTTTCTAATTGAATTTATGGGTTAGAATACCACTTCTATTCCAGCATTGTTAAGAATTCTGCGTAAGGTTTCCGTTAAATGCCACACATATAAGAGAAGCCTTCAAACTTAATAATTATCCTGATAAATTTGTCAAGAAATATGTAGGGAAATGTAAAAATAAAATAAATAATGATATTAGTGATAGTGATAATATTAATGTTAATGACGATATGCATGTCAAATATGCGCAAGACAACACCAACAATAAGGAATCTAAATCATCAGTTGTAATTCCACACAAGGAAAGAACCTCGGAAACCACCCTACGCAGAATTCTTAACAAGGCAGGCACGAATAAAAGTAACTGGAATTCCAGCCAACCACAAACTCAATTAGAAACAAGCTTTGTCGGTTGAAGGACTCTGTGGAGCCTTTAAAACAAAGCAATTTAGTTTATCTAATACACTGTCTTCAATGATTCTCAGGTCAAATACATAGGTCAAATTAGTAGAACAGGGGCATTCAGACTAGCCGAACATAAAAACCTAGCAAACTCTAGATTGGTTGACCCAAATAAGATAAGAAATCTAGAGAATAGTTCAGTTATACCAATAAATACATGCAATTACACAGAACTATACAACAGGATGGGATAGGATGACAGTTTTAAAATCTAATGTCACAGGTTGGAGGAAGAGATCGATTGATAACAGAAGCTCTGTTTATCGAATCAACTGTAAATACATGTAATAAGAATGATTCAATATCTGTCCCAGATATCTGGAGAATTCTACTACCCCAAAGACGACAAATAGGAGAGGACAAAGAAAACTATAAAACTCAAGTCTCAAGGTCGTGTGATTACAATTGATGGCATGATTATGAACAGTAAATTTTCTTCGAAAAGTCATCCAGTAAATAGTACTGTTTCACTCACTGTGTGATACATCTAATAAACAAACTAATACGGAATTACCTTCTGAGGACTAATGTATAATTACCCCCAGTCAGTGGGTGTGTCATCATTATCAGCAGAAATAGAATCTGTGGCGAAAGTGACACGTGGAAAACAAGTTATTTACTAGTAAATAGGAAAAATTGAAAAGACGGTTGTATCGATGGGGATTTTCTTTTCGATTATGTCATCAACTGGGCTGTACATTCGTGCATATGTAGTAGTAAATAGGTGAGAAAGATCCATAAACTGTCTCTGGTCGAGAGTCAAATTAACAAGATTACAAATAGGGATCAAATTGTAATAATAACAAAATAACCAGAACTGTTTATAATAGCCATATTCAGGACAACAATTTTCACGTTTTTCTTTTGAATACGTGGCTTGAACTTCGGAATCCCTAGTGCCTCATCTTAGCCTAGATGCCTTGCACTCACTCCCTTTGAGAGGTTCAATTCGAGCTTGTATGAGACTTTGAATAACTTTTCAAATGGAGCTGAATATCCTGAGTTCATCAGGTGTTCTGTTACCGAGCTTATATGCACATGTGTACGTTCTCCTTTCGGAAGCCAGGCTGGATAGTGTCCCCGAGTGTGTTTTACGGGTGGATGCATGGTACAGTCAATGTACTCAGCTCCATAATAATAGCAAGTGAACTGGTATGTGCACATTGAAGTGGCTCACCGCGACAGCTTATCTTTCACGTGCTCACTTAGTAGTTTCTTGCAAAGATAAATGTTGATCGTAGGTTTACAGCGTAGTATGCTTTACTGAGAGATTTTGAAAGCCGTTTCCTGATGGGGATCTCTGCTTCATTATCGCTTTTAAGTTCCAGACTAAGCAGCGGCATATTTTCTTGGAGACAACCTGAATCTGTCAAGAAGCTTTCTCTGGTTTTAGCTTCTTTTCTATGAATTTGGGTGGGAAATTATTTTCCGTGAAAATTCCTTGGAGATTCTTCGGTACATATTTTCTGGATCCTTAAGGAAAGAGATTGCTCTTATGTTTAGATGGACACAACTTTGATAGCTGGTAAACTGTCTATTCCATCTTAGCTCTTTGTTGATAGATCTCTCCAGAAAGTTATCAGCATTTCTTCGCAGTTCTGAACATCGAGGAAATAGAAGATTAAGTCATATTCAACTTCTAGAGTGAAGTCGATATTTGTTTGGGCATTATTGAAGCTTTGGAGTAGGTTTCCGAAATCCAAATTCTCATCACAAGTAATGGAGGTATAACTCCATTATAAGATTTTATTTTGATAAATCACACAGTGTTTTACAGTAATATTAACTGATGAAGTTTCAAGCACAAACTATGCTCTACTACAGTGCCCAAGTTTTATACTTACATCAATAATGAAGGTATCATCAATGTATCTCTTGTGGTGATGATGCTCATTGAGAATTAATCTTTTTAAGAGGGAGTTTCTGTAAAATTAATAATAAGACTAGTAGAGTTGTATCTTAGCGTCTTAAGCATTTGACTATCATTCAATGAGTACTTTATTCGAATTTCTCTTGGGATTTTGTTCAACTCTTCAACAGTCATGGTGTTGAGCCAATCCATTCTATTCTGTTTGAATAATCTATTTTCATGAGTCAAACAAATTTCTCATTTTACCACATTATCATAAATATTCAGGTTGGTTGTGTGTAGTTCTGTGGTTCATTGGGAGAACACTCGCCAACCACGCTTCACATCGTCCAGCGTTCGATTCCTGGCAGGTAGCGAACTCCTAAACCTCGACTGGTTAGTAGTAAGACAGGTAAAGAGGAAAGGTGCTAGCGCAAAGCTAGGAACACCCCCCCCCACCACTACTACTGAAACTTCACAGCCCAAGAAAGCCTGGAGCCCCATGTTCCACTGGGAACGTAGTAAAATAAACAAAAGTTTAAATGATTTACAACTCACACACATACAAGTAGACTCAGTAGTACTTTCAAAATACTTTCAAAACATAGAAGTTATATAGTAATTCAACTAGGAATAGCCACATATGGATTAATTACGTTTATCGACAGAAAACACATTACAGCCTACCTTATACTCATATAAAAGTAAGTTAAATGCAGCCGACTCTACAACTTAAAATGTGAGGTGTGATAGAGAATATTAGCGTTTTGGTGAGAGAATTCTCCCCACATTCATAGGATTAGTAGACATTTTATTTGGTGTATGGTGACTAGCAGTGGAATCCATGATGCGCATTTCGTCCTGTTTGGGACTCGTCATCTGGATGTACCTTCATTCCCCAGTGATTGATGATATTCCCACCGAGGATTAGCTCTTTGGCGTTTGAAACTATGGGCACTGGGTTCGAGCCTCGGTGGGAACATTATCACTCACTGGGGAATGCAGGTACATCCAGATGACGAGTCCCAAACAGGACGAAATGCGCATCCTGGATTCCACTGCTAGTCACCATACACCAGTTAAATTCTAATTACATGCCCAGACATCGTCGAGGCATTTTCTCATGAAGCCGACGTGTCAACCTGAGGCCGAGCACTTCGGTCCAATCGATCGACGGCAAAATCTAAAATTCAATTAAAATAGATTATTAGAGATGTTTCATTCAAAAAAGTTTGAAATTCCTTCCTTATTGAGCATCAGAAACGTATAATTAGTTGGTTGTTCTCATGAGCGACCTGGTACAGCAGGGGTTGGGCAAACTTTGGTCTTCATTTCGTAATGCTGTCAAATGGTCAGTCACACACTCATAGCCTATGTTAGGTAAGACCCATTCACTGCTTTTACGCGCCAGTGGGGGCTGTTTCTTACAAGAGTGAAAGATAGAATGCTAATGCCTAGCGCTTACAGCCTGACTAGTGGATATGCAGGTGAATCTATCTAGGAGAGCCCAAACATCCTGATTCCAAATTTAAGATGTATATAAATGAGTGTATGAACCTGGTTTGGTTACCGGAAACCATGAGAATGTGGCTCCTGATGCTGCTTCACCGCTTTGTGGGTCAAACTCCAAGTCAAAGGCCCACAGGTGGTCTGAGCGTCTGTCCGGACATTATACCCAGCCCTCGCACAAACTATGAGATTCTATGTGGTGCATCTCTTGGTACCCATAGTGAAACAGTCTTATATTTTAATAAGAAAAATAAAGCCAGTTTGTTATACCTATCGTGGTGTCATTAGATTCCATTTCAGTCGGCTTTATGTTCCTTCGCTTTTTCTTCACAGTGGTAAACCTGGTGATATGAAACGAGAAACAAGTATACAAGCGCATCCAGTGAATGCAATGTGTCTTCAGTTCTCACCAACTGGTCGACAATTTGCTGTCGGTAGTGCAGACGCCTTAGTTTCTATTTGGGATGCAGATGAATTTGTCTGTCTACGAACATTATCTCGGTAAGTTGAGATACAGTTTTGTTTCTTTAAGACGAAAATTATTATTATTATTGTTCCCTTGGGTTCCTAGTGGAACATAGGGCTTCAACTGCACGTCTCCACTTGCTTCTGTCTTCTACTGTACTTTTCACCTGCATCCATGTTAGTCCATACTGTTGCAACTCCTCTTCACACGATCTCTTCCTTGCACTGACGTCCCACTCGCCGCTTCCCTTTCAGCCTGGTTCTACTCGAGCAATGGCCTGACGCGCGCGGGATGTCATCCAGCGAGCGGCCTCCTCAGCGAGTGTCCAATCCATCTCAATCCACTTTCTCCTGCATATTTGTTGGTTGGCGATTGGTTCTTGTTTTGTTTGTTCCCAGCCATAGTTTCTTGTTGGTGATTCTTTCCGGCCCGGCCATCTGATATTCAGTATAGAGCCAGCGAAGACAGTTTCTGATAAAGGTCTGCAACATATATTCTTTGTGACCCGCCCGCCAAGTTTCTAATCCGTATTGAAGAGCTGACTGACTTGACGTTTGTATTGAAAATCCGACTGAATTTTGTTGTTGATGCTGGCTGAGTGACGAAGATTTCCAGATTGATTTCAGGTTGATGAATGTGTTTCTCACCTTCCCGATTCTCGCTTGATTTGACATCCTCGTCCGTTCCAACTTCCTGTAGTTGAGACAATGCTTCCTAGATAAGTGAATGGATGAAGTAACCTCTTTTAAATCCCTCCCGTTGATGGTGATTAGCGCTGGATGTTGCTGCTCTTGTTGTTGTTGATTGGTTGGTTATTTTCATAACCTCCTTCTTGTCTGTGTTCACCTGGAGTCCTGTCTTCACTACCTGCTTCTTCGACCAGTTTGTCGGTTTTCGCTTGTAAGTCTTCGATTATGTGACTGTGACATCAAACATAAATCATCCACGTGTGAAATCCTGGTCTTCTAGGCTCTTCACGTTGGTCGGTCCAGGATATTCTTGTCTGTAAGACAATAATGCTTTCAGTGTTTTCCGAAATTATATTCCCCTTAAGATACTCACTTGTGTGTTTCGTGAGGGAAATTTCATTTTGTTATGTTATTGCCTCTAATGAGTTTGATGCTTTTTTATGTGACTGTCATATTTCTGAGTTGTTTTTTTTTGTATAGTTGAGAAACCTTTTGTAGTTTTTTTCTTGGGGTTGATGTATGTATATACACACACACTGTTATTATCCCTCAGGCATCCGAGTGGAAGAAACATAGGGCTTCAACAACACATCTCCACTTTTTTCCATGTCATCCTAGTACCGGCGACCCACTCGTCGCTTCCCATTGGGGGACTCCATTCGAGCGGTTGCCTGTCTGTATTGCGCGTCATGTCATTCGATAGCCTTCTCAGCGTATACCCTATCCATCCTCATTTTCTGCTACTTCTTCTGTGTTGAGCGATCGGCTCTTGGTTGTTGGTTTGTTCCCAGCCATAATTTCTTTCTTGCGGCCATTTGATCTCAAGTATGGAATCAGGTAAGGCAGCTGTTCATAAAAGTCTGCTGTGGTCCGTCGGAAATGCTCTCAGTGACACGCCAAGTCAGTGATAGACACTATCTGCTATCAATGCGAGTATATTGATTTAAATAGCATGAACATTGGCTTATTATTACAATTATTATTATATCCTTTAATTCCTAGAGGAACATAGGGCTTCAGCTGCGCATCTCCATTACCTTCTGTTTTCTGCCAACTTTTTCACCCCGCTCCTCCTCACACGACCTCCTCCAAGTCACCCTTGCACTGACGACCAACTCAAAGCTTCCCTTTCGGGTTCCACTCGAGCAATGGCTTGTCTAGTGATGTCACTTGATGGTTTCCTCAGCATATGGCCAATCCAATCCATCTCCATTTCTTCCTGCCTATTTGTTTCACAATCGGTTCCTTCTGAGTTGGTTCGCTCATTGCCAGAGATCTTTGTTGCTCATCTTTTCTGGCCATCTGACCTTGAGTATTGAGCGAAGACAGATAGCTGTTGATGAAGGTCTGAAGTTTGTTTGAGATGCTCTTTATGACGCGCAGTGCAAGTCTCTGATCCGTATAGTGAGTAGCACTGACTGACTTCACATTGGAGTTGAAAATCCGGATCTTATTTTGGCTTACCAACTGAATATCTTAAACAACTATTATTGAGATGCACACTGAATGTGCGATTCGGATTTAATGAAGTGTCATCTACAATCAGAGATGGAGTCACCATGCGGTCTCCTTTAGGACCGCTGTTAGCAAATGTCTTCATGGCAAGCTTTGAGAACGGCCCACTAAAGGAAACCATACAGAGTTTGTTTATGTATAAAAGATATATATAGATGATACATTCATTGTCTGTGAGGAAAACTGCCGAACTGCTTGGAATATTTAATGGTTCTCATCCATCTTTGCGTTTCACGATCGAAGAAGATTCGAATTCCTCTTTTCACTTCCTTGACATTAAGCTAGATAGAATAGAAAATGGCACGCCGTTAAGGTCGATTTACCGAAAGTCAACATTCACTGGACAGTACAGTTGGGTACCTTTAGGGAGAAAGAGAAATCTTACTCATTCCTTATGCTCCATAATTCGTAAAATCTGCTCTACAGAGACAATCGATAGTGAAATAGATAACCTTCGATCAAATCTCCTTAACAATGGATATCCTACAAGGTGTATTGAACCTAGCATCAAGAAAGAATCTGCCCCTAGACATATCACAGTTCCAAAGAAAAAACTGTTTATGAGTCTGGCATTCAAAGGTGACACCATTTCTGAATTGATTAAAAATCGTTTATCTAAATGTGATGATTCGATATCATTCTTTCCTGCCATCTGTTCTGTTTTAGCTACCGGTGTATCGTAGAATTTTCTTTCATGCTTTCCTCACTCGTCTACACTTCTTTATTCAGTGCGTTGTACATTGAATTTGGTTGTGTATCTTTGTACTGGCTCATAATCTCTTCCACCACCATCTCTCTCCTCTATTAGCTTCTACGTGTCCATTGAGAGCCACTCCTTGTCATGTTTCTTCTTCCTTCAAAATCACTTTCAGGGAGTTCTAGTGTTCTTCCACACAAGTTTCTTTGGTGATGCTATATAATGTCTCCAACTCAAGTGTATTCCACATCCTTCAGTCAGAATCACAAAGTGATATTGCTTCGAATATATGACGTGTTGTTTAATATGCTAATGTATGCAAGACTATTGAATCTGTGATTAGTTAATTCGAGATTTGATTGTTTGCAATTGTTAAAATCTGTCAATCTAACATTGAAATAGTCCAAGAAAGTTGTGTCATCAAATGTGATGAATATTCAGCGTGATGTTATGTTTCTCTGTACGTTGAACTTTTGAAATTTAGGACACTGAGATGGACATAGATGCGTGCTGATCAAGAATACCCCTTGACTAGGTGAGCAACATTATGCAACAGCTACCTGTTTCCCTAGCTTGCACTACTTAAGCAAGACGACGTAAGCCGTAAAGTATATTTTACTTAATAGTTTGTTTTATGCCTTGATGTTTCCAGTGGAACATAGAGCTTCAAGCTAGAGGCTGGCATCGGCCGAGGATCAGACCACGGACTACATGCGTAGTTGATTCAAAGTATCATCAAGGATATGTCAATTAGTCTGTAATCACATGATCAATAAAGTATTGGACGTTATTTCATGTGGGCCAAATTCTGATTGGTTTATTCCCGGGTTGGATATCGATCACTTAAGTTGACCAATTGTGATTGGTTTATTTATCAGACTAGATATCGATCGTCATATCACGGGAACATTGTTATTCTCTGAATAAAGAGTTAGTTAGCATGGCAGTTTTTGATTATAGAAATCGGAATATTTATCAAAAGTTGGTTATTTCTCTGTGTTTGAAAATTATTATTTTATCGCTTTTGTTTGCTCTAATAGATTAGAATGGCCTGTACGTACTTTGGGATTCTCTTATGATGGAAAATTGATAGCAGCGGCTAGTGAAGATCATTTTATTGATATTGGTCATGTAAAAACAGGTGAGTCTCTTGTGGTCCAAGTGAAATAGCCTTACGCTAACCGGACTTTCCTCTCTTTTTCCAGCTTACTATCAGCTAGTTAACTAATCAAGCTTTAGGAGTGCATTAGCGCGTGGATCTGAAATCGAACTTCCTGCCGCATGGCTAGCAAACACTCTGACCGTTGAACTATCGACTCTCTTAAGTTCTGTTTTCTCTGTTAGAATTTACGATTTTTCTCAAAACAAATTCAGTTAGCCAAAAGCCTTTAGACTGCTGTGCTGCCTAGTGTCATATAATGTCTAGTTAGTGTCTGTCGAATTGACCCTACTCAATATTTTGACGAATTATGGTGGGGGGGAGGGGTGTTATTAATCAGTTTTGTCATTTTTCTGTCTGGTATAATATTGGATGGCTTATTTGCAAAGTTTTTGGTGTCTTTCTTTCTATGTATATGTCAGCCTTCTATATATATAGCTAAGACACTTGATCCTTGGGGTTGTTGTGAATGTGCGCCACTGAAGAGTCCCGGAATAGGACGAACCAACTGTGCAGTACTGTTATCAATTCGTTATCTAACTTGAATTCTAAAAAGCATAGTACTCAAATAACACAACAGAATTATTGATACAATTTGACAAGGAATTGATGGAGAATGTCCTTGGAAAGTTAGAGTGCTGAATTCTAATGCAAACTATATGATTAAGAGAGTATAAGTACATTTCTAAATGAACATGATCAGATGAGGGATAAAGTATTCGGAAATTCTAGACTAGAATACTTGCTTTTAATTTCATTGAGCTCGAAGTAGAAAGTAGGCTGTCAAGCTTTTAAGTTTCAGTAGTGGGGTGGGGTTGCTAGCTTAACGCCTGACTTCTCTCCAAGACTTAATATCGGCTAGACGAGGAGTTGTAGGAGTGTGTTGCATGGAAATCACCTGTGGACCTCCTCATGGGTGGGAAACATTTCTCGGCAAGGTTAAACTGTAACCACTTCTAACTACCAATCAGCGAATGACCTTGAACGCACCAATCACGTGGAGGAGGCATTTTTGTGTATGGAATACTTATATTTATGTAGAAAAAAATGGATAAAAACTGTATAAAAGTGTTACAGAGGATACCTTCCTCTCGCATGTAATAAAAATACCTCTCAGTTTTAGGTTGGAGTATCAACAGAGTAATTTAACCGCATTCTATGCATGGACTTACTTAAGTCTTCTAACCTTAATAATTTAATAATTCCCATTGTAGCATTAAGAACACAATTTTCAGCGAAGAGACTCTTTTCAACGAATTTATTATCAAGCTGTACAATCGTATATATATGGTTTTATAAAGAAATTATATCCGGTGAGGGAATTAGGTCAAAGGTGTAAATACATGAAATAATAATAGTATGAAATAAATTTAAAATATTTGTGATTAGGTTCATAGTTTAAGTCAAGTGGAACAATAATTAATGTCATATATAAGATAATACATCAGGTGTATAGATTTTGGGGAGAGGCATATAATTGTAAGATTAATAGACGAATGTAAAATGTTACGTAACATGGTGTGAAATTTGATAACATAGAATTTAATATTGTAAAAATAAAGATAAAAAGTATACACATGAATAATTTTTGGTTTAAAATGTCAAGTAGATCAAGTGGAAAAGATTCAGAATGAGAGTCGTAATAATAATAATAATAATCGAAGTAATAAGGGAAAAGTACATAGAATAATAAAATAAATAAATGTCTATCCCTCTACGGCCAAGGCAGCAGTAGGGATTGTACATACTTCTTTTGTACACAAAGGTCTGGCTTAAAGTCATGAATTGCCAAGGCCTCAGCTGTCTTTAGAAGTCTGTAACGAAGAAAACGCGGGAAGTTGGCATGAATTCTATATATGACCTTGAAATCATGGTCAGGGTTGACCGAGTGACAGGAGTCGATGAGGTGTTCTAAGATAGAGCTTCGCACACATTTCCTTTCTCCCTTGTAAAACCAAGCTGGAATATGTTCTCGTATCCGTGTGGAGAGCATTCTCTGACTACGGCCAATGTACCTTGCTCCACAAGAGCAGGTGAACTGGTAGATGCACATGGAGGCGGTCAGACGGGGGAGCTTATCTTTTACAGAGGTAGAGAACAGTTTGCGGCTCGTGAACGTCATATGTAATCTAGCTGCAGGGAACGTTTTACTAACTGATTTAGAAAGACGATTTTTGAGCATATCAGAAGCTTGATCTCCTTTGAATTCCAAGTTCACGAATAGGGTTTTCTTTGGAACTGAGTCAGTGACCAGTTTAGACTGCTTATCTTTCATGTTGCTGTCAATAAATCGGTTAGGGTAACCGTTTTCTGCGAGTGTGGCTTTCAGGAAGTCAAGTTCTGAGTCGACGCAATCAGAACTACAAATTTTCCTTATCCTAAAGCAGAGTGAATGGATTAAATTCCTTTTCCTGGAAATAGGCACCCAACTGTAAAAATTAGTTAGTTGTCCGTTCCATGTACGTTTCCGGTGGATCGATCTCTTGAGAGATCCGTCATTCCGTCTGCTAAGGCACACATCAAGAAACGGAATACTTAGTTCCGATTCCTTTTCTATGGTGAATTGTAAAGAAGGATGGCAGTTGTTGAAGGCGAACAAGACATCATCAAGAACTACGTTCTTATCGCAGATGACGAAAGTGTCGTCTACGTATCTTTTATAAATGTCAAAATGCCCGATGGTTTGACTAAGTTGAGAATTTTCCAGCTTTGCCATAAAACAATCAGCTAACAAAGGACCCAGTGGTGATCCCATGGCAATGCCATCTCTCTGTCTATAGATCTCATTGTTGAAGGTGAACTGAACATTCAACGTGCATCTCAATAAAAGTTCTTTGAGGTGGATTGTCGGTAAACCTATTTCCAAACCATGTGTATCAATATACTCACATAAATAGCTAACAGTTTCCATGAGAGGAACATTGGTAAATAGCGACGTGACATCTAATGAGAACAGGACTTTTTCTGAGACATTAAAATCTTTAATACTATCAATAAATTTAAACGTATCATCAATGGAAAACTTAGATACTTGCCTTCTGACTGGTTCCAATATTTCGGCTAGCCATTGAGCGATTCCGTGATAAGGAGAGCCCGCCATATCGAGGATTGGACGGAGGGGTAATCCTGTCTTATGTATTTTTGGTAGTCCATACAAACGTGGTATAATGGAGCCTACTGGTCTGATGCGTTCGTATATTTCTGACGATATTGCTGACTTATTCCTCATATTCTTTAAGACATCAGTCAGTTGATTTTCAATTAAATGTGTCTTGTTCTTTTCACCGTCGGGTTTGGCGAATTTCGTTTGGTCAGAAAGGATCGCTGAGATTTTATCATTATAATCTTGGCGATTCATAACTACGACACCCCCACCTTTGTCTGGACGGCATATGATAATATCATCATTCTTCTCTAGCTCTTTCAGTTGGTCTATATGCTCTTTAGTCAGAAGATTATTCGAGCTAGGTTTTGAACTAGTATACTGATGACAGCAATCAAGAACTGTGGATTTAAAGTATTGGAATTCCTCAGGTGATGTGGGTGTAAGATCGTTGGTCTGATTAATAAGATTTTCGAATTGCACTTGAGTATGCAGTCTGTTGACTTTGGATGAACTGTTGCAGAATTTGGGGCCCAGTGATAGGGCTTGTAGTTGAATTTCAGAAAGAGTGACGGAGGAATAATTAAATACATATTTATTGGGGTCAGTCGGGAATCGCTTTTCTGCTAATACCTGCTTGAGACTGTCAAGATGCTTGAGGTTAGCAGACTGGGACTGTTTTTCAATGACACAAGAAACGTATTCCTCGAATTGCCGGCGTTCATCAGTCGAAAGTTCAAACAGAACATGACTTCTCAGAGTTACGTCTAAGCGCCGTATATGTCCTAATTCCAAAACATTAAAGCGCCATACACTTAATCATATTGATGCAATCAGTTCTCGTGTGGTAGAATTAGACAGGAACATAACTCTGAGAAGTCATGTTCTGTTTGAACTTTCGACTGATGAACGCCGGCAATTCGAGGAATACGTTTCCGGAGATGACAAGGTGTTCGAGGATCGAGCTGTTGCCTTTCTTCTTTTCCCCTTTGCCTGGCTAACCAAGCTGAACAGTGTTCCAGAATACGTTTGTGGACTTGACGTTGCGTACGACCGATATACTTTGCTCCACACGAGCAAGTAATTTGATAAATACAATACATTGAAGTGGCCAAAAGCGGCATCTTGTCCTTAGCGTTAGACTGGATTAACTGTCTGCAAGAAAATGTGATACGTAGAATGGCTGTTGGAAATGTCTTCTTTAGACATTTAGAAAGGCGGTTTCTGAGAATTTCCGGTGCGATATCACCTTTGAATTCTACGTTCATGAAGAGAGTCATCTTAGGAACCATTGTGATGTTTGACACCGGAGGCTTCCCCTTCATGTTTTTTGTCGATAAATCTTGGCGGATATCCCCGTTCTCTAATAGTAGGGTTTCACGTTTACCAGTATCTGATTGGTCTAAAGATTTCTTTGTTATTTATATAATTACGATTGTACAGCTCATGAAAATGAATCGTCGAAAATAAAATTATCTACAGGATTTCATCATGAACTGACATTGGTTAGAGAACCATTGGAAAACCTGGGAGTATCGGAAAGCTGTTTCGTTCTAGTTTGGGTGTCTTCATCAGTACCTACCCACCAGGCTACGAGCTCGCCTTGTAACCAGAAGGTCCTGTGTTCGAACCCTCTGTGGTGGGTGCGTACTGATGAAGGGTTCCAAACTACAACGAAACAACTGTCCGGTACTTCCAGGTGGTTTTCCAATGGTTCTCTAACCAATGTCAGTTCATGATGAAATCCTTTAACCAATCAAATCCCTACAAACCAACACTTGAATAAAATTATTTCTTCGCTGTTTCTATTTATATGACTACTTATAAGTAGAAGTATACAGTATAATCTTTTAGTTAGTTTACTATCTTTTAAAAATAAATTAACTAATACTGTTTTGTTTAAAAAATTTTTGAACGTTTACACATCAGGTGAACAAGTCTACCAAGTTGGTAATCATGCATCGGCGACATTCGTCCTCGCATGGCATCCTCGACAGTATCTTTTAAGTTATTCAAGTGAAGCGAAATATGAACGTGATCAAGGCGTGATACGATTATTCGGCTTTGTGTCGGATGACTTGTAAATAAATAGAAATTGAATATTAATGGGGAAGAGATTTTCGAAGTTTCTTTTGTATGTAATAAATTGTATTTTGTTTTTATTTGTAAATTTTGTATAGAACTGTAATATGTGCTTACTTTAAATAAAAATGTATGTATGTATACACATTTCAAACAATTAGTTCCCTTTACGAATTTGGATAAAGCAAGTATTATTATTATTGTTATTACATCCTTTAATTCCTAGAGGAACATAGGGCTTCAGCTGCGCATCTCCATTACCTTCTGTTTTCTGCCAACTTTTTCACCCCGCTCCTCCTCACACGACCTCCTCCAAGTCACCCTTGCACTGACGACCAACTAACCGCTTCCCTTTTGGGTTCCACTCGAGGAATGGCCTGTCTAGTGATGTCACTTGATGGTTTCCTCAGCGTTATGGCCAATCCAATCCATCTCCATTTCTTCCTGCCTATTTGTTTCACAATCGGTTCCTGGTTGGTTCGCTCATTGCCAGAGATCCCTGATGCTCATCTTTTCTGGCTGGCCATCTGATCTTGAGTAGTATTGAGCGAAGACAGCTACCTGTTGATGAAGGTCTGTAGTTTGTTTGAGGTGCTATTTATGACGCGCAGTGCAAGTCTCTGATCCGTATAGTGAGTAGCACTGACTGACTTCACATTGGAGTTGAAAATCCGGATCTTATTTTTCATGCTGAGTGCTGTTGACCTCCACATAGACTTGAGAGTAATGAAAGCTTGTTTTGCTTTCCCGATCCTTGCTCTTTGATATCCTCGTCAGTTCCGTTGGCCTGTAGTTGAAACGATGCTTCCCAGGTAGGTGAAGGAGGCCGTTTCTTTCAGGTTCCTCCCATTTATGCAGGGTGATTGTTGTCTGTTGTTGTTGCTGTTGGTGCTGGCGAGGAATCTTCATCACCTCTGTTTTATCTATGTTCACTTGAACTCCTATCTTTGATGCTTCTTCTGCCGACTTGTTGCTTTTCACTTGCATATCTTCCAGTTTGTGGGAAATCAGACATATATCATCGGCGAAGTCCAGATCCTCCAAGTATTTTGTGTGAGTCCATTTTATGCCTGTTTCCCCATTGCCCGTTGTCTGTCGCATTATTCAATATACTGCAATAAGCAAAATAATTGGCGATAGTAGACAGCCTTGCCTCACTCCCGTCCTCACTTCGAAGGCTTCCGTAATTTTCTCGTTGTGGATTACTTGGCATGGAGCATTGTCGTATAACTGTTGGATGAGATGTATAATTGTCGGCGGCACTCCGTAGTAGTGAAGTAGTTGCCAAATCACCTCTCGATCGACTCTGTCGAAGGCCTTTTCAAAGTCAATATAGTTGAGTGAGGTGGAGAGGTGACTGTAATTCCAAGCTCTGTTCAATGATGATCCGTAGTGTTACGATTTGATCGATGCGTGACTTGTTTCTCCTGAATCTAGTCTGTTCCAGTCGAAGTTTATCATCCCGACGGCGTGTTTGATCCTCTCCAGGATGATGCGGCTTAGTATTTTGCTTGGGATGAACAGGAGCATAATTCCGCGCCAGTTTTTACATTGACTTAAGTCTCCTTTCTTTGGCAGTTTGAATAAGTATCCTTTCTTCCAATCCTCAGGTACTTTGCCCTCTTTCCACACCTTCTCCAGCAGTGGCGTCATCAAGTCCGCTATTGTCTCTGGGTCTATTTTCAAAGCTTCTGCTTGGATTCCATCTGGTCCTGGTGCTTTCCCAGCTTTTAGCATCTTGATGGCATTCAGGACTTCTGATTTCGTCGGGGGGTCAGTGTTCACTGGTAGTTCTGCTTCCGTTGTTGGTATTGTTGGGCGCGTTGTAGGTGGCGGACGATTTAGAAGTCTTTTGAAGTGTTCAGCCCAGTGCTTTCTCTGTTCCACCTCTTTGATGATTGACTTTCCATTGTCGTCCTTTATTGGCTTAATCTGTGTCGAACTTTTGCCCGAAAGGTGCCTAGTTGTTTGGTAGAGTGTGGCGAGGTCTCCTTTGCCTGCAGCTTGTTCTGCTTCGTTTGCCATGGTTTCATAATATTTTCTTTTGTCTTCCCTGGCACTCTTCTTCACTCTTTTATTCAGTGTATTGTAGCTTGCATTCAGCTCCTGTTTTTGTTGCTCGTCGGTGCACTGGATAATCTTTTGTTTCACTGTCCTTCTCTCTTCTATTAGTTTCCAAGTGTCCGTAGTGAGCCACTGTTTGTCCTGTCTCTTTTTTCTGCCTAGAACTTCTATGCAGGTTTGACTCCAGACCGTTTTCAAGTTGTTCCAGTGCTTTTCGACGCTGACCTTTTCGCTGGTGTTGATTTGTGTCTCGGCTTTGTCCTTTATGCTTGCAATGAAGATGTCCTTTGTAGCCTGGTCCTTCAGCTTTTGAGTGTTGAACTTGGCTTGTGGTCTGTCTGCAGCTCCTGTTTCCATGAAAGCTTTTAATTTGATTTGGATTGTCCCTTGTACGAGATAGTGGTCTGAGCCAACGTCTGCTCCTCTTCTTGCTTTTGTGTCCAGTAGGCTACGCCTCCACTTCCTTGAGATTGAGATGAAGTCCATTTTGGTTTTTGGTTTGCTTGTCTGGTAACACCCATGTAGCCTTGTGGATATCTTTGTGTTTGTATACGCTGCCACCAATCACTAGTTCGTTGAAGGCGCAGAAGTCGGCGAAGAGTTCTCCATTTTCATTCATTTCTCCGAGAGCTTCTCTGCCCATGATGAGTTCCCTTCCTGTATTGTCTGGTCCCATTTTGGCGTTCATGTCTCCCAGTAGTATTGTAATGTCGCCAAACCTCCGACGACTGGCGTATGAAGCTCACCGGAGCTCACTGGCAGACGTATGGACAAAGGGCTTATTGGATGTCTGGCCCCATTCAAAAAGGCGTATGAACCGGACTCCGGTCACCGGCTCCCAATGGATAGTGGACTCCCTACTCCACTCCTACTGCCTTGTAGGTCACACTTGGTTGTGTAAAGGCTAGAGCTGCACTCTCAAACAAAAGGCCGAGCGATGCTGGGGGCATCGCTCGTACCTCATTCCGATGAAACTTCATGAACTCTCTACAACATCAACCAAATTCCTGTACTGGTCCAACAACGTCGCCTTCGGTTTGTTTGGCCATGTTTTGCACCGACCAGATGACGATCTGGTCAAATCACTTCTAAATCCCTCGCCATTTCCATCTTGGCGATGTCGCAGGGATGGACAGCTGAAAACATGGCTTGGTACAGTCAAGGCTGATATGTAGTGACTGGGCTGGGGCTACAAACCATCTACGGACTCCGTCTGTGGAAGAAGAATTGGATAACCCTGTCGCGAAACCTTGCATCAGGTCGCCGCGCCTGGGCACCGATGATTCGAGATGTTCATGAAGCCGGCTCATCCTCCCGTAGGAGATAGCCGAAGTAAAGTAAAGTAAGTAAGCTGGAGTATTGTCCATTGTTGCCTGTAGTTGTCTGCAGAATTCTTCTTTCTTTTCGAGGTCTGCGTTGTTTGTGGGTGCATAACATTGTATAATTGACACTTTCCTCCCTTTGGAGTTGAATCTGGCAATAAGAAGACTTAATTTGTCTGTCTGAATCGTGTAATGTATTTGCGCAACACATTTCGAACAATCTGATCCATCACACACGTAGTTGTCATAGGAATATATATGAAATCAATAAAGAGGTAAGAGGTGAGAAAATCGACTTAGGTTATGTTGAAAGGCCGCCATATTGAAGGTGAAAATAACAATGAAAACCACTAAACCAGATAACAGAGGTAATACTACATCTGCTATGGTATTAAAACAAAATTTACCAAGGAAGGTTTAATGTGATGACGAATTGTTGCTTTGAACGAATATAGGTGGCTTAAACTTCCTAATTGCTACCTAGGACTTCCACAAATTTTAGGATACGCCCCAATCACGCCTTATAGATAGGTTTAAAAGATCTGTTAACATCAATTTTATGACCTGTCTCTATAATATGTTTCGCAATAGAGGAACTAGGTCTCCTGTTCTCCCCGTTAATAGGTTCTGAAGATTCTATTTGTTTCTGGAGCCATTTTGGAATATGCTCTGAAGCCAGCCCTTACTTGCAGAGATCGATGAGTCCTCCCTAGGTACGCATGGCCGTACGTACATTCAAATTGGTAAATACGGTGGGATGTGACGTCATTTTTCGCATGTTAGAAGGGCTTAGATAGATGATATATTGGCTTTAGATTCTCTATTATTATGATATTAGCTGCATAAAAAGTCTTTTTAACCACAATGGCGTTCAGTCTTTGTCTAGTTATCAAGCTGCTTTGATGCCCCATATAGAGTAGCTTGATGTACACGTCTTTCTTAGGGGCGAGTTTCAGAGTGGGTCATGGTGCTCCACTGACTACTTTATATCTCCTGATGAACTTGTCCGGATAACTGTTACGAACCGGGGTTTGTGTCAACTTTCTTTCTTCTTCATCAAGCGTGTCTTCAGTGCATATTCGTTGGATTCTACTGAAGAGGCACCTTACTAAGGCTCTTTTGTACCTAACAGGGCAGAAGCTGTGATGATTAAGATACTGTCCTGTCCAGGTAGGTTTTCTATAAATAGATCTTTTTATTGACCCATCAAGCCGTCCGTTGACTAATCAATATGTCTAGGAAAGATAAACAATTATCTTCGTCTTCTACAGACAGATGTAAGTGACATGCTATTCTGAACTTCATTCATTCGATTTAAAATTGAGGTGGCAGAACAAGACTTATCACTGATCATTACAATATCATCTACATTGATAAAGTTTCACATTGTTATACATTATGAAGTGTCGAGCACAATTTATTACTGCTCATAATCATCATATTAAAGCACTACTCATTACACAACTTTCTAACTTCGTTTATATAGTGCCATTATTTTTCATCGCTTGGTTTGATTGGTTGTAGTAGTATTTTCTATATTTCCGGTATAAGTGATGAGTCATTCCTATCGCATGTGAATAAAGCAAGATCAACAGTGGTTTTTGCAGAATAAAATG